TCCACTTGAATAGTTACATTTCATATAAAAGTTTACAAATAATGGTTTTTATTTTTGATTTTTTCAGTATTAAAAATGTTGCCTTGATGACATAATTGCTTGTAGGATAGTTAAATGTCAGTATTGAAACTTAATCTCTAGTTGCCATCTTATAGACATGAATAAATGTTCACCAAGCACATATTTTGTATTTTATTGCATTGTACATTGCAGCTAATAAGCCAAGGAATTGAAATATATTAGGTGTATGCATGATTTCTATAATAAAAACTACAAACTAGAAACCTTTAACTTTAGATGGCCAAACCACTGATATAAATATTTGCTATGAAAAGAATTATAAGAGTTTTATTTTTATGATATTAAAAGTTACTTAATAAAGACTTGTTTCCATTAATTTGGAAAAAAAAAAAAAAAAAAACAAAAAAAAACACTGATACTCAGTGAGGAGAGGTGAAGGCTGACATAATAATGGCATTTACAGCCAGGGAAAGGAATAAGATTTCTTATAAAGAGAATGTATATACACAGAAAAATAGAGAGTATCAACCAAAAAGGACAGTAGATGATGAAACAACTGTAAATGCCTTGCTGATAACTACTGTCATCAATAGTTGGGGCCTGCAGTGCAACTCTCCTCAAGAACTTGGAAAATTCTCTGGAAGGCTTGTGTGACTAAAAAAAAAAAAAAAAAAAAAAAAAAGAACTTGGAAATTTAAGAAATAATATAATATTAATACTGCTATTAGAGTTAAGCTGTAAAACCAACATGTAATGGGCCAGAGCAGAGATACTCAATGCCACCTTCCAATAACGGTAACTTCACTATAATCTGTGATACAGGATGAATTGTGTGCCCCCAAAATTCATTTGTTGAAGCTTTAACCCCAGTACCTCAGAATGTAACCATAGTTGGAGATAAGGTCTTTAAAGAGGTAACTAAGTTAAAAGGAGGTCTTCAGGGTGGGCTCTAATCTCATATGACTAGTGTTCTTATAAGAAGAGAAAATTTTTACATAGACATGTGTTTATACTCAGGAAAGACCAAATGAAGACAGAGGGAGAAGATGGTCATTTGCAAAACAAGGAGAGAGGCCTAAGAGGAAACAAACCTGCTAGCACATTGATCTTGAACTTTCAGCCTCTAGAACTGTGAGAAAATAAATTTCTGTTGTTTCAGCCACCCTGTCTCTGGCATTTGTTACAGTAACCCTAACAAACTAATATAATATGATTAAATCTAAAAACAACAAAATTTTTTAAATGTCAATCAGAAAGGGGTTTAATTGCCGAACAAAACATAGAAAAAACAAAATATGCAACAGTTTGAAACCAAGGAAGTCAGTTATAGGGCAAAAAGGTGGAACAAGTGCCATGTCAGACAGGTGGATAAGTCATAAATGCAAGCACATCCATTAGAGGTCATCAGAGCTGGTCATCAGAGAGGCTGACAGGATAAAATATTGAAATAGGAGAGAGATGAAACAGACAAGAGATTGGAGAGAAAAAGTGAATGTATGACATGAAATGTGCAAAAATAGAGCAATGTGTGAATAAAGGTGAGGCAAGGTTTCCACTGGTCTTTTTTTTTTTTTTTTTTTTTTTGAGACAGAGTCTCACTTTGTTGTCCAGGCTAGAGTGAGTGCCGTGGCGTCAGCCTAGCTCACAGCAACCTCAAACTCCTGGGCTTGAGTGATCCTTCTGCCTCAGCCTCCCGAGTAGCTGGGACTACAGGCATGCGCCACCATGCCCAGCTAATTTTTTATATATATATCAGTTGGCCAATTAATTTCTTTCTATTTATAGTAGAGACGGGGTCTCGCTCTTGCTCAGGCTGGTTTTGAACTCCTGACCTTGAGCAATCCGCCCGCCTCGGCCTCCCAAGAGCTAGGATTACAGGCGTGAGCCACAGCGCCCGGCCTTCCACTGGTCTTTTAAATGATAGATTGAACTTGCCACCAAGTTCCATACTTTTTAAATAAGTTCCATACTTTTAAAAAACTCAAGATCATAAGACCTTAAATGCAAAGCCTAGTTCAGACAGAAAGTGTCATAGCTTGTGTCAGAGACTGCCAATGGCTTCTTTTTTTAGTTAATAATAACCCTGAGTTTTTAGTTGGCATATTTCCATCCCATTAAAATATACTCTAGAGGCCTCTCTTATAGTTAAGCATAACTATGTGACTAGGTTCTGGCCAATGATATATATATATAAGAAATGTATGAAATTTCCAGAAGGTCTTTTTTGCCTTTTCTTTATTAACTTCTTGAAATGTGAGTATGTTGAGGTTCCCAAAACAATCTTACCCATCTTGGACCATGAAATAAAGCTACATTCCAGGGTATGAGGCTGAGGAGGGGATAGAAAGCTGGAAAGAACTTGGGTCTCTGGTGACTGAGGAGCCTTCCTATCAGTTCTGGTCTGTATTATCTCCAGCATTCTTTGGTGTGAGAGTAATAAACTTCCATCTTAGCCTATTGCATATAGAATTAAGGGCCTATCTCTGCACCAGCCTTCCTTCACAATTGCCTTTTCTTCAGTGTCATCATCTCACAGACTCTGTGTTCCATTTTCCATTTCCTAAATATTCCCATGGCCTTGGTCCATTTGCATTGCTACAAAGGAACATTGGAGGCTAGGAAATTTATAAAGAAAATAAGTTTATTTGGCTCACAATTCTGCAAGCTGTACAAGCTGTACATGAAAGAAGCATGGTATCAGTATTTGCTTTTGAGGAGGGCCTCAGGCTGCTTCCACTCAGAGTGGAAGGCAACAGGGAGATGGCATGTGCAGAGATCACAAGACAAAAGAGGAAGCAAGGGGGATGGAGAGGTGCCAGGCTCTTTTTAACAAGCAGCTATTACTGTAACTAGGCCCCACATCCAACATTGGGTATCAAATTTCAACATGAGATTTGGAGGGGACAAATATCCAAACTGATAGCCATCTATCATTATCCTGATTCTATATTTTTTTTCAATTTTTTTGAATAGAAATTCATTTCCTCTGTTTTTTGCTTTACTACATATTAAAGTTTCCTCATTCTTAAAAATTATACTTCCATTAGGGTATAAAGGCAACTTACATGTACCATCCATCATTCTATTTATTGTCAGCATTTCCTGAACTTATTTCGTGACCCTTTTTTTTTCACTGCCCAAATTTTCAGGTACAGAGTGGTCGCTTCTCTCCATAGTAGTCTATAAGAAATTTTGTGGGTTTTTTTCCTTACACATCTCCTCATTGTGGACTTCCTGGTTTTTCCCTCATTTCTCTTTGATCTCTTTTCTCTTGGCATTTCAATATTACTTTTATATATATGTATATTTTTTCACTTACCCTTCTCTGCCTTTAATGATTATTTTATTCACTCAATCAATATGCTCATGAAAGTTGGGGAAGTGAAGGTGGCATAGATGTAATTAAGTTTTAAGTAGAAAAGTAGTTTTGAAAATTTCACTTCACTTAATCTTTTCAACAATCTTTTACACGTGGTCTTGGCCAAAAGGCTGAGAAGCAAGCCAACAACTTCCTTCCTTCCTTCCTTCCTTCCTTTTCTTTTTTTTCTGAGACAGAGTCTCACCCTGTTGCCCTGGGGAGAGTACAGTGGTGTCATCATAGCTCACTGCAACTTCAAACTCCTGGGCTCAAGCAATCCTCTTGTCTCAGCCTCCCGAGTAGCTGGGACTACAGGCACACACCACAACGCCTGACTAATTTTTTTATTTTTAGTAGATACTAATTTTTCTACTTTTGGTAGAGGCTAATTTTTCTATTTTTAGTAGAGATGGGGTCTCACTCTTGGTCAGGCTGGTCTTAAACTCCTGAGTTCATGCAATCCTCCCACCTCAACTTCCCAGAGTTGCTAAAGTTATAGGAGTGAGCCACTGTGCCCAGCCCTCAACAATCTTTTAAAGAACTATTGTCAATCTCTTTTTAAGACAGGGAAACAGAGTTCAGAGATGTTGGGTTACTTGCTCAAAGACAAAAAATTAGAAGAAGATGGAACTGAAACTTGCATACAGGTCTAATGACATCATCTCCTGTGTTCTTTCCTGTATTCCATGTTAACTTCTCTCAGGGTGAGTAAATAAGAGGCCTTCCTGCCAAATCTACCTATGTCTCCTCTTGTTTGGTAAACAGTAGTTGCTGGTTTGGCTTTTTAATCTGAATTTGAATATCTTTATATTGGCCCTGCACTTTCCAATCCTTTAACATCCCCACCAATCCCTGTGGTCTAACTCCAGGTTTCTTTGCACATTTAGTTCACCTTCTTGGCTCTTAAGGCTGTTGTGTTTTTGACCATTGCAGTTTTGTTCAAACTCAGTTTGGAATGTCTGACCCCAAAAATCAGAAAGGCTGGGCTAAAGTCATACCTAGGCCCTGTACTAATCTTATTGTAAGAGTGAAAAATAAAATAATAAAGAAAAGATTGAATCCTCCCTGTCGCCAAAAGGAAGAGACTTTTTTCCTCTCCCTTTTTTAAAGGATTTTTCTGGAGCAAACTTGTAAGTATAACCCCTCCTGTGTATGTATATCTATATCTATATCTTTTTAAAAGATATAAATCTATATCTTTTTAAAAGATATAAATTTATATCTTTTAAAAAGATCTATCTATATCTAATCTATATCTTTTTAAAAGCTAAATAAGCCTCTTCTCAGATACAGCCCAGGAATCTTTTTCTTAAGGTCCTGGGAGTCAACTCTTTGAAACGTAAATGTTAATAACTAACAAAGAAGGCAGTGCCCCCATCTCCCATGCAAAGGGGGTTAGCCTAAGTGCCCTGCTCCAAGCTGAAAGGACCTACTTGTCATAGAGATGAGAAGTTTAATTTTTTTCTTTGGATAAAGGTAAGAGAAAGAGCAGGCACAGATCGCTACCCCAATGGTGAACTACCAATGAATGAGTAGCAAACAGTGTCGTCAACTCCTCTAACATGACGTGAGAACATGCATGTAACGGATTGTATCTGCTTGGCTACATAAAAGGTGAAATTTTTGTCTGTCTTTGCACTCTCATTAGTGGATTGCCTGTGACACTGTGACACACATCCCAGTCTGGTTCGATGCTTACAGAATTTTTTTTTCTTTTCTACATTTGTGGAGATTTTCAGAGATGGCCAGGATATTTTATTTTTAATTTTTTCTCGACAACATCAATTTATTTGTGTCCCCTGCTTTTACTTGCCTCCTCCACCCTCACCTTCCCACCTGCTTTCAAAGGCAAATTTGATTGGTAATTTGTCGCTTGCTCACCTGCTACTTTGCTTTGAGAACCGGGTGAGAAAGGGCAATCTGCCGGCGGCGAAGACCACGACTCCCAGCGCTCCCCGCGATCGACTTCCTCTTCCGGTCTGGAGGCTGCTGAAACCGAAAGTGCTGTGTTTTGAGCGCAGCCGCCTAGGTTGATTCACCTTCACCTGTGCGGAGCCCCAACTGACCCCAATAGGAAGCCGGGTGACCAGTAAAACATGAACGGAGGAGTGGATTATTTGGTCGCTGAGGAAGAGATCAATCTTACCAGAGGACCCTCGGGTATGTGCGAACGGGTCATATCTGGGAATAAGGGACCTGCGGGTGTAACCGCGGATATCTCTTCTGCCGAGCCAGATTCACCTGGCCTTGGAGTAGGCAGGCCCCAACCTAGAGGTTTCCTGCAACGCTTTGGGGCACTTAGAATATATTGGCATCCATCGTTAGCCAGGTTCTGAGGAATCCACTTAATCATGCAGTAGGATTACGACACATATTTATAGGCTGGAAGGGTTAGTTTTACTAATGGTGCTAGAAAGCGTAGGAAAACAGCCTGCTTTAAAGCCAGCACACTGTGGACACCACACCCTTCCTTCCGTTGCCTGCTCTATCCCTGCTCCTATGAGGGACCGTTTAGTAAAAGTGGGAGCATAAATGGTATGAAGTCTGAATGCATAGCCGTTTTCCTGGAGCTGAGATCCTTCCCTCTCTTTATTTCTGGGAAATTCATTTATGGCATCAGCTAGAGTGGTAAAGCAGGAAGAGACCTTAGAGATCTGTTACAAAAGTTCCCAATTTACAGAAGTTTTACCATAAAATTACCCAGAGCTTTTTTTTTTTTTTTTTTTTTTTTTTTTGCTTAAAAAACCAAAACATTCAAGTGTTAATTCCTAGGTCCCATCTCTAGGGATTTAGATTCAATATGGATTTTTTTTTTAATGAATGCCCCCTGAGATTCTGATATAACCAAATCCTCACTTACCCTCTTAACTTAATCCCTGCTATCCTCTTCCTCCTTGACATTCTTCGCTAGCCTGGGCTCTTGACGTTACTACATACTGCCCACTTTGGACTTTGTTGCCTTTCCTTTACAGCTGTTTATTTTATCAGTTAAGAGCTTTAGCTGTGGAATTACACTACCTATGTCCAAATCTTATATCTAACCTCTTACTAGTTCTTTGACATATATTGGCTGAATAACTTAACTGATGTAAGCCTTAGTTCATCATCTGTAAAATGGGGATGGTTATACAATACACTTCATAGTGATGTGAGAGTAAAATGACTTAATCTATGTAAAATATTTAGAACATTGCCTGACATATGGTAAGCAGTATGTGTTTGCTACTATTGTTATTGTTAATGGATAAATGGCTAGACTGACATAGTAAGTCCTGCTGAATTTTGTATTCCAAGAGTCTCTAATAAATCAAATACTAGGAGCTCTATCTCTGAAATGTTTCTGAAATTTTTTCACTCCTTTGTGTTCTCATTTCTAGATAGATCTGTAGTAGCTTTTGTCATCTGCAACTTTGCAGTAGCTTAATCATCACTGATTGATTATTCTTTATAAAATATGGCTTTTAGAATGATCCATACTTTATGTCTTCCTGTTACAAAAAATTGAAAGTTGGTTTTACTTATGGGAGTATAACTCATTGTTAATCTTCTTGGATTAGTGTCATGCTCTCCATATCGGCTCCTAAACTTTGTCAAAGGCCTATTCAGAATGCCCAAGTTTTTTGTATTTATTTTTTCCTATTTTATATAAATTTTGTCTTCTCTCATTCTTAATATTGACTTTTGAGGCTAACATGGAAAGTTATTTTTAAGCTAAAATCTGTTTTTCTATACTTTTCATTCATTGATCTTTGTTCTTTTCTTAGGGCCAATTATAACAATGCTACTTCCTCTTCTGACTGCTCTGCAAGTTTTTAAAGGCATCTAGTTCTCCTAATCTGCCTCTTCCTTCTTTAGCCTAATTATCCTCAGTTATTATATATCCTCCTGTGATGTTTGAGATTTGATTCTTCCCTCTTGCTTAAGGATTTAATGTACTTTGACATAGTCCTTTTGCTGTGGCAACCACAGTATTTCCAGAATCTCCTTACTAGAACAGAACAGAGCCCTGATACTGTCTTTCCTGTTATAAGCACTAAATATTTTTAAAATTCAGTATAATATCACTCCATCTTTGTTGGCATTTGCTTAACAGTGTAGCCTAATGTTCAGCTCACCATTTTCGTATTTACTAAATACTAAAGCCTGTTGACCTTGCAGACTTAAAGTTCCTAGTATTAGCATTTTTCCAAAACATTGGCATTAGGACAAGCTCTACCGCACTAATTGAAAGGAATGATTATATCTAGCTAATATATTTCACCCAACAATGCTTTAATTTCTGTATTGTATGTGTATTTATTCAAAATGGAATGGATTTATTCACTAAGTGGCTTCTTGAATTTTCCTAAGCATTTTCATGTCTTAGGCATATAAGTCAATGAATTTACTGGGAAAGTAGAGCCACAAATTTAGGATTGAATTTGGATAAAACTCGTCATTTGAAATTTGGTTGGTTCATTTAACAAGGAAGGGTTTCAAGCTCCTTCTGTTTATCACTCCCCAGAGCTGGTTTCCTGGTATGTGGTATTCTTGGTCTCTGAGTCTAATTCAGCTTTTCTTCATGGTATCATCATGAAGATACACAGGGAAGAAATCAATAGTCACCACTAGAAATTTCTACATAATTTTGGTAGTTCCATAGAAATCTTTATTTCTATAGAAGAAATATGAAAAGCCTCTAATTCTAAGTATGCATTTCTGTTTGTAGGCAGTGTTGTCATTCTTTGCCTTTGTACAGGTTTCTATTCAGGAACCTGATAGTTCAATCAGGTAACTGCAAGAATGTGTGTACTGTTGCCCTTTTGTGCCAGGGTTCAATCAGGGAAAAGAGTCTTGGATATTTCAGTGTTTGGGCCCATATTAAAAGGCAAATGAATCTATTCTCTGATTCTGCTTACTGCAAGGGAAATAATGCACTCTTGGGAAAATTATGACAATAAAGTGAGGAGGCAAAAAGAAGCTTGACATGTAGCTTGGCATCTCTCCTTTGTCTACTTTTTCAACTGTATAAGGAGAGGGTTGGACCAGATGACTTCAGAGGTATCTTCTACTTACAAGAGTTCTTGATTCTTTTGCCCATTCCACATGTTATTTTATGATTCCTCCCATTTTGGACTAACTAGTTGTCTTAGTCCATTTTATGTTGCTATAAAGGGTTACCTAAGGCTGGGTAATTTATAGAGAAAAGAAGTTTATTTAACTCACGGTTCTGCAGGCTGTACAAGAAGGATGGCATCAGCACCTGCTTCTGGTGAAGGCCTCAGGAAGCTTTTACTCATTGCAGAAGGCAAAGGGGGAGCAGTCATGTCACATGCTGAGAGAGGAAGCAAGAGAGGATGGAGTGCCCATGCTCTTTTAAACTATTAAAGCAAAAACTAATAAAGCAAAATTCACTCATTACTGTGGGGAGGACACCAAGCTGTTCATGAGGTATCTGCACCCATGCCCCAAACACCTCTCCCTAGGCCCCACCTCCAACATTTGGGGTCAATTACAACATAAGATTTGGAAAGGACAAACGCGCAAACTATATCACTGAATTAGCTGAAGAATTTCAAAGGCAGTGGTCAAAGTCTCAAAAGCCTTCAAGGGTTGGACAGTTCACCTTTTATCCTTTATGGAAAGCTGTCTCTTTTTGTTCTATGGGAGTCTAGTTTGCTTATAGTCTCTAAGGCTCTCAGTTTTTCCTTTATAAACTTGAAAGTCTGTTAATAAGTCATAAAACTCAGTTACTCTAAAAAGTGTGATAGGACTTTAATGATAGTTTTTTTCACTGTAAATGGAAGAGATTGGCCATAAAGACAACTCTGATGTACATTGGTACATGGTACATTGGGTACCATGATTAGGATTCCTGTGTTCAGGCCTGAGGCCTCAATGAGTTTCAGTAAGTTACTCCTCATATACCATCTTTAAAGAGGGAAGAGAATCTCTGTTTTCTTTCTGTGAAGGCTTTGCAGAAGATGATGGATTTATACAATATTTTAGCCATGAATAATTAAGAAAGTATTATCTTTCTGGCAGTATGCTAGTTACTTTATGTAAATATTAACTCATTTAATCTTCACAGCAACCCTGAGTGGTAAGTGTTTAGTCCACATTATCTATTAGAGGAAGAAATTATCTCAGAGAGATTAAGGACTTGCCCAGGTTTGAATGCCAGTAAGTTTCAAAGGATTTTAACCCAGGTCTCTTGATTCTACTGTTCCATATACTACCTCCCACTATAATAGTCATGCTTAAGAAGTTGATTGCCAACCTTTTTTTGACCTTTATTTTGTTATATCATGCCTTACTACCAGAAGGATTTGAGGCATCTTAAACGACTGACACAATTTACAGTGGAAAGATTTTATAGTTTGCTGTTGATAAAGCTGAGTACATATTAAGGTGAGGACCTAAAACCAAGAAGCCCCGTTAAGTCCAAGCATTTAAGCCTTTACAGACTTGTTGTGTACTTTGGGCTTAACCCTGACTGAAACTGTTGCTAATAGTTTTCTGATCTGTTCCTTCCTTCATGTATCAAATATATCTGAAACTAAAGTGCTATATCCCTATCTTCCCTTGATTATACAAAGTCTAGCCTTTCATGGAATTTACAGTCCAATGGAGACATAATGTTCTTATATGAAAGCTAAATCTCAGAGCAAAGGTGCAGATGGTTAGGGAGTATGATGAGCATGTATGTAGTGAGAGGGCATAGATGTTTGGAAGGGAGCATGGTAATCTGACCCTGTGCTGGAAAAGTTCAAGGAGTAGAGCCACTGCTAAGGACCCAAGTGGTCAATTAAAAGAAGGTGGAACTTAATGTTTGTCTTGTAGAATGGCCAGGCTTTAGGCTAGGGCCAGGGCCAGGGATGGGTAAAGCCTAAGCAGGAAATAGAAGAAAATAAGCAAAGTATATTTTGAGGTCAGTGAGTAAACCAGCCTGAATAGAAGGGAAATTTCATTAGGGAGATTCAAGCAAAATGGTTGCTGAAGTAGGTAGAGGTTGGATTATGGAGAGTCTTTAGTATTAATGTGGAAGCTTAACCTTTCTCCAGGGTTCCATCTTGATTCCTTCTTCCTGTTCGTTGATTAAGACTCAATTCAAGAGTTACCACCTCCAGAAAGCCTTTCTTACCTAGAATAGATGCTTTCTTATTATCAATATCATACAC